TGTGACTTAAACGCTGTAGTTTAATCTCTAGTTATTTGCAGTTGTTCCCAGATCTTAGACCAAACTTTAGTGTGTATACTACTCTTTTATATCTGTGATGCAGAAGGAGACTTATCTTGGTGATTATTCCATGTGGTTTTAGGAAGAATGTGTGTATCTTGACTCATTTGAAGTACAGATCTAAAGTAAATGCAGGTAAATGATCACGTCTTTGATTTAAACTACACTCTATTTCATTATTCACTGATTGACAGGAATTCTGTTGGTTTTCTGACTATTTTACAGGAGTTCACTGCCATGATGGCTCTTTTCCTTAAGGCTAGATTTTCTCCCCTCTAGTAGTGAGGATCCAATCCAGTACTTGCTGGCAAGTACTCAACCACTAAGCCTTTCGCTCCAAGCCACACACTGTTTTCCCCATAATTATATTTGTGTGTTGTGTTTGGAGCCACCTTATTGGGGTCTGAATGGTGGACCTGAAGATGAGGGCCACCAAAATACTAGTTGTGGATTGGTTACATTGAGATGTCGTCTAGGGAAGTGAAGACCTGTCCACCCATGATTCAGAAATCTACATCTGGTATACTGTTTGAACTTCATGCAATTTTCTGTTGAGATATAAATTGGAAAGCTTGTTCTTCCTTAGGGTGTCTACTGCAGGGCAGCATTAATCTTTAGTAATCACTACATACAGGCCATCTAACTGTCTACAGTGGGTACTTGCTAAAAGCACTGGTCATTCTTTATACTTACTGTATTCTGATTTCGTATTATTCATGTAAAGTCCAAAAGTTTTCAGATCTTAAAATACAGATCAAGTGTCATAATTGCTATTACATTTGGACTTGAGTAAAGTACTTACAGGCAAGGGTTAACTGACATTTTTCCTGTTAACTCATTTTCCCTTTAACAAACTGGCACACGTGAGTAGTGCCTACCAGTGCAGCTCATTGATCCACTGCCCACTATTATTTGTTGGTGATGGAGGGGAGCAAGGATGATCTAGCTATGTCTGTGAACCCACCAACAGCCCTGCTCGATAAAACAGTACTTCAATGTAGCGAGCAGCGTGGTGTCACACCTGATGGAGATGTATAATCAACTCCTGAGATGGCTAAGGCTTGACCTATGCTATGATAACGCAATGATCATCAGCTGCTTGCATATGCGTGGGCCTATGGGCAGTGCCCACCTGGCAATCCGGGATTGGCAGCCCATGCCTACTTAAGGGCTGGGAGAGGTTTGCCAGAGGAGAGAGGGGAAGAGAGAGAGAGGGTGGAGGAAGGAGAGAGAGAGGAAGGAAGGGGGGGGAGAGAGAAAAAGTGAATAAAGTCCTGGAATAAACTGCAGTGAGAAGAGCTCCGGTGGTCGCGTCATTCCTTGCGGGACGAGGTGGACGCGACAATTGGTGGCCTCATAAGGGGAACCTCCAAACCTCTCTCCGTGGAGCCCAGAACTTGCTGCAGTCAGGGGTGCATCAAATAATCCTCAAGGTAAAGATTGGGGATCCGCGACAAAAAGTGGGTTTTCTGCTCTCGCCGTTAGAAGAAGGGAGAGTGGGGGTAATAGGGCTGCGACTATAGCGGACGGTTTAAAGAAAGTATAGCCACGATAAAAGTGGAGGGTTTAAAATGAAAATAAAAGGAAGAATGGGATTTTAGAATGGGTGCTTCAACATCACACCTGATTTTTCTAGCTCTTAACAAGCTGTTACAGAGCGCTTTGGAGAGGTTTTTGACTGAATGTGACACAATTGTTCCTTGGTTTGCTGTCTCTGGCAATCTTAATGTGTCATCCTGGGATAAGCCTGGTAGAGATCTGGATTTTGCCATTGAACAAGGTACGCTAAGGAAGGGAGTTATATTCATGTGGTTTGAGTTACTGAGACCTCCGGAGTTTGCAGTGGAGTGTGAGCAGCTGCAGCTCCAAGACCAAGGAGCTCCAAGCAGCTCCAGGCAGCGAGCGCTGAGGGTCTGTGATGCCTGCAGACCCAGGAACCTGCCTCAAGGACCGACAAGGCAAGAAAGCTAGGCCACTCCCAGCATGGATGCCTCAGGGCGTAGAAGCAAGCAGCACAACTGCCTGAACCTCTGTCCTAGCCCAGGGCAACCGGCTGGACCGGGGTCGGGCCGGCCGCTCTGCTTCCCTTGGAGGCTCACACAGTTGACTCCTGTGAATAGTCAATGCTGGTGCTCACACTCCACTGCAAACTCCGGAGGTCTCAGTAACTCAAACCACATGAATACTAGAAATGGGTTAACCAAAGATATAAAGCTAATAAGAAGCTAGAGCTACAGGCCAAGCAGTGATTTAATTAATACGGTTTCTGTGTGATTATTTTGGGAGTCTGGGTGGCCGGGAAATGAATAATCTCCTGTAAGTCATAGCCTTTTTTATTTTAAGACAAAAAAGAGGGAAATGTTGTAGTATGTTTTAATAAAGACTGTAACTATGTGAATTATCATTGTTCAACCAAAAGTGGAGGAATTATATAAACAGCTTGGCTCTGGCTAACAATAACCACCACGACCTAGTTAATATTAAGTCTATAAATCCTTAGGAGGCAGGCAGGACCAGGTTACCATTTTCAAGAGAAAAATAGTAATGCCACGCTCAGAAACACTTGAGTTGTTCCTCCTTTTCTTCCACTGTTTCTATCCATACTACCAGTGCCCTGAACCAAGAGAAAAAGAGAGAGAGTAGTGTGTGTCCATGAACACTGTCTTACTTAGGGCTCAGCATGGAGCCACATATTCTCTGACACCCCCAAACAGCCATCCTGCCCAGCTCCTATAGTCACCCATGAAGCTCCCAGCTCAGTCTCAGCTTGAGTTCTCCAGTCACCAAGCACGGCAGGCATGCAATATCTTCAGCAATGGAGCCTTAGCATCTAGTTCTGGTGAGCAACTAACCGCACCGGCAATAGCATGTGCTGTGTGTTTAGGGGTGTTCTCCAGGGGTAACAACTCCAAGAAAGGCAGCCCACCTGTGGCACTGCATTTTCACCAACATATCTTCTGGAAACATTTTCCATGCATACAGGGTACCTTCATTTAAACTCTTCAACCATTGTTTTAACATTTGAACAAACAGGTTCCTGAGGAATTTTTTTTTCTACTTACATATATGCACATCACTTGTGTGAGGTTATGGTTATGTGAATGAGTGCAGGTGTCTATGGAGGCCAGAAGAAGGTGATAAGCCAATTGACTTAAGTGCTGGGAACCAAACTAGGGTCCTTAGCAAAAGTAATAGGTGCTCCTGACTGCTAAATTATTTCTCTAGTGTTGAGGATTCTTCTCATTCGTTGCATTACCTGTGAGTTTGAGTAAGAATGGCCACCATACATTCAAATGCTTAGGAATCAGAGTGTGGCTTGAGGATTAGAATGATAAGGTCTGGTCTTGTTGGAGTATGTCATTGGGGTAGGCTTTAAGGTTTTAAAAGCGGACAACAGGCCTGCTGCCTGTGGATCAAGATGCAGAACTCTCAGCTACTTCTTCAGCATGTCTGCCTGAATGCTGCCCTGCCTCTGGTCGTGAAAATGGACTAAATCTCTGAAAGTGTAAAGCCATCTCCAATTAAATGGTTTCTTTCATAGTGTTGTTATGGTCAGTCATGGAGTCTCTTCACAGCAACAGAACAAAGATGTGTTTTACCAAAAGTTCCAAGAATTTCTCATGTGCCTGCCCTGTGCACATGCCCTTCTGCCCGTCACCGCTTCAGCTTACATGGGTGCTTTCCTAACTTTGTGGAACACTTACAGGATAGCATTAACACAGGGGTGTCAGGATCACTGAAGGCCCATAAACCAACATCCCAAACAAGTGCCAGCTGGACTGGGCGTCAGGAGTTAAGAGGACAATAAATAAAATGTTAACAATATCCAAAAGCATGAAGATTCTGTTACCTTTACCAAGTGTTTCTATTACTCACTCATACCATTTCTTCACATGATCGATGCTGAGCTGAGGATACCGTTCAATTGTTAGCCTGCTAATCATGAGTGAGGTCACAAGTTCCAGCCCCAGCACAAAATGAAACCTACCTCAAGAAAAAATACGTTGGTACCATGTCATATATAGGTTAGTACTACCTCAGTTAGGCCTGTTCCACCCAGTCATTCTCCATCCCCACCCAGGTGCTGCCACAAGTCTGCTGTGTATCTTCTCACCAGGCTTAGTAGGAAAGAGCTGGTTCTTGTCCTAACTGGCCAAGAGCTCAGACATGCTCCCATCTGCAACCCGACAGCTCCCTGGGTTCAACGGTCTCAGGAATCAAGCTGCACCACACTGTTGTTGCTTCATCTGGTGCCTCCAGCTACCAACAGTGCTGGGCTAACAATCACACACACCTTCTAAGGACATAACTGCCATGTCAGCTCTACTTTCCCATCAAACATTTGCTCAAACTTAAAGCCTCCAGCGGCAGAACGCATGTTATCAGTCTCCTGTATGAGGCTGCTACTCAGGCCTCCGTCTCCATGCTCTGTTAAGAGCTTTTCATTTCTAGTAAGTTCAGACCTTAGGGGTAATTTCTCTCACTGTGACTCCATTCTACCTCCTCGTTTCATTCTTTTCCACGGGTTCCAGGTTTGGGATCTTAGGAAGAATTGGGTTGTTTTGGGAAGTACAGATGTAATCTGTAATCCCTCATCTCTTCCATCTCATTTCTTTTCTCTACCTTTCCTGTCAATGTGAGGCTAACCCAGGTGAGTACCTGATGTCTTTCCTTGCTGTAATAGTTGCATGTGTGGATAAGCTAAACTGCTAAACTGCCACTTCAGCCTATTACATGTTCCAGTGCCTGCAACAAGGAGCATGATTCTGACGGCAGGGACTGTAAGATTCTCTAGCCTTGGATGCAGCACCTTCAGAAGGCACCCCTCCAGTGCTGTGAACACTAACGTCAGAGACAAGGCAAATGTTCCCGCTGTGCACAGGTCCAGGCACTCTTAGCTTCATTCCTGTGGCTGGAATAAAATACCTTGACCAAAGCAATTTAGGGGAGAGAGGGTTTATTTTAGTTCATGGTTCCAGGTTACAATCCATTACTGTGGGCCAATCACAGTGGCAGAAGTTGACACAGGTCATACTGTATCCACAGTCCCAAGGCAGACAGCAAGGAACACCTGTGCTATGCTCCTCTGTCCTTTCTGTTCTCCCTCACAGCTGGGCCCAAAAGCTAACCAAACCCAGACAATTCAGCACTGAGATTCTTTCCCAGGTGGCTCCAGAGTGTATCAAGTTGACAACTGAAGTGAACCAAAATCCCACCCAACACAGAAACACATCACTTTAAGCCAGTCTCCCCTCCTTCTCGATGGTTCACACTGACACAAATACAACCCAACTTTAGAAGTCCCTAGAGAGTGAACTTTGTCCCAGACAGGGCACCAAAGACAGGGACAAAGAATGATTCTAACCAAGTGTGCTAGAGGAATCACCGAGTTTAACTGGGGGTATTTACAAGGCCCCAGGCAGTCACTGTAAAGGAAATGTTCGTCTCCCAGCAACCATTAAGCTCCCACAATCCTCACACTTACAGAACTGCTCACCATCCATCACTGTAAGTTTCTGAAAGAACTGTGACCTTGAAAACTTCACAGCTTTTATTTTTGCTTGGAAAACTATTTCCAATACAAGTCACTCATGGAATGTGAGGGAGCAATGATATCTAAAGGCTTTCACACACCTTCCACTCACATTTTCTCTATCATGAGTTCATTTATGCTGCTGAAAGGACGTGTGAACATGTGACCTTTCACCACTATGAGTTTTCATGATTTTAAGGCAAATGGGGAAAATGAAAGACTAAACATATCCTGTACATTCATAGGGCATTTGCCCAGCAGGAATTAACTTACTTCTCTGAAAGAAGTGTGACAAGTGACACCACATTAGTAACAAATAAAAACTTTGTTCAAAGTGAATTCCTTCATGGAGCCGAAGGACACCGTGACCCCTGAAAAGCTATGCCACAGTTTACATACAAAAGGCTTATCCCTGTCTTTAGTTCCCACAAGGGTTTTATGTCAGTGGGGGAAACGCTTACATTCAAAGTTTGTTGCCAGTATCTGTTCTTTCATTCATTTGAAGGAAATGGAGATAAAGGAAGTAGATATTGCTGACATTCATACGGGTTTTCCATTCCATGAACGGACTGATGCCTCTTAAAGGAACTGTGCCGGCTGAAGGATCTGCCACACTGAACACACTGGTACGGTTTCTCTCCAGTATGTCTTCTTTCATGTGACCGAAGGTAAGAGCGATGTGTGAAGGTTTTCCCACATTCTTTGCATTCATAGGGTTTCTCTCCAGTGTGGCTTCTTTCATGAAATCGAAGATAATTATAACTCGAAAAGGCTTTGTTACAATGTTTACATTCATAGGGTTTTTCTCCAGTGTGCGTTCTCTCATGCAACCGAAGCGAAGATTGACATCTAAAAGCTTTCCCACACAGCTTACACTCAAAGGGCTTTTCACCTGTGTGGGTTCTTTCATGCACTTGAAGTAAAGAGGGGTAAATGAAGGACTTACCACACTCTTTACACTCATACAACGTTTCTCCACCATGAGTTATTTTATGTCTATGATAGGAAGCCTGACACCTGAAGGCTTTCCCACACTCTTGGCATTCATAGGGTTTTTCTCCTGTATGAATTTTTTCATGTAACTTCAGAGAAGTAAGCCATCTAAAAGCTTTCCCACATTCTTTACACTCATAGGGTTTTTCTCCAGTATGAATTCTTTTATGTAACTTAAGGGTCCTGTGACTTCTAAAGAATTTACCACATTGCTTACATTCATAGGGCTTTTCTCCAGTATGAATTCTTTCATGTAATTTGAGGGCCCTGGTATATCTAAAGGTTTTACCACATTGTTTACACTCACAGGGTCTTTCCTCAGTATGAATTCTTTCATGTAATTGAAGGGCACTGAGATACGTGAAGGCTCTACCACACTGTTTACATTCATAGGGTTTTTCTCCGGTATGAATTCTTTCATGCAAATGAAGGGCACTAAGACCTCTAAAAGCTTTCCCACAGTCTTTACACTCATAGGGTTTTTCTCCAGTGTGAATTCTTTCATGTAATTGGAGGGCACTGGGATACCTAAAGGCTTTACCACATTCTTGACACACATAGAGTTTTTTTCCAGTATGATTTTTTTCTTGTTTTTGAAGGGAACTGGAAGTTTTATCACAATGATTACCTTCATAATCATTTTCGTCAGTCTGGCTTCCTCCAGCTTCCTTGTAGTCATAGTTGTGATGGCCATTATAAGTTAGATGATATAGTCCAAAGGTCTTTAAACACACCTCACACACAGAAGGCCCACTCGAAGTCTGAGTTTCCGTGCATCCTTCAATACTTGTAAGAAAATTGGAGTCCTGTGGCTTCTGTTCACAGTCTTCATGTTCATACTGTGTATATTCAGAGTGAGATATGACATGCCTATTAAAAGATAAATGACATGTGAAAATTTCTCCACCCACATTGCTGCTCATATTGAGACTAGTATATGGATAAGGTTGTCCCACCCTGACCACTTTCTTCAGTATCACAGAGTACCTGTAAATGTAACTAGTGTGCAAAATGGCAAGCACATTAGTCACAGTTGATTTATCACTGCTTGCTTAATAAATCTTCTTGCCTGGACAACCTGCTACAATCAAAATGTGCCTTCACATGAAGGGTCTAAAAATAAATGAACTACAATACAGTTCCCACAGGCCTAGGATCAAAATGTTAGCATTCGTTAACGCAGGGTCCCAGAACTGGTTCTAGATGAAAGACTACACAAAAAAATATTTTGGGTGAAAATTTTCTACTGACAAATTAATTTAAAGTCAGGCTTATTTATTTTGTTAACTTGTTAAATTTTCATGGCACAGCAGCAGAAGAAAAGGCTCAGTGGTTAAGAGAACTGGGTGTTCTTCTAGAGAACCCTGATTCAGTTCCCAGCACCAACATGGGGGGGTAACAATCCAATTCCAAAGGATCGGAGGCCCTCTTCTGGCTTCTGAGGGCACAGCATGCATGTAGTACACAGACACAAACACAAACAAAACACCCTTATACATAAAATAAAAATAAATAAATCTTGCCAGGCAGTGGTGGTACATGCCTTTAATTACTCAGGAGGGAGAAGCAGCTGGATCTCTGTGAGTTCAAGGCCAGCACAGGCTACAAAGTAAGCTCCAGCACAGCCAGGGCTATACAGAAAAACCCTATATCAAAAAACTAAAACACAAATAAATAAATACAAAAAATAATTCTTACAAACAAAATCTTTACAGCACACAAAATTTCTTCCAGGAACATTTGCTTGCACTTGTGCATGCAGATTACCTTAGATTTATTTCAGGATCTTCATTATGTTCTTCAATTTTCTGGTCTTCCCATTCGTATCCTAAAATATTGGCACAGTAATGTGTGATGAATTACTAGGATGTACATTGTCATTACACCTAATTCTTCACCACATTCTTCCCTCTCCACATCCGAATCACAGTGACCATCAATAACCAGAAACACTTGCTCTCTAGTTTACAGAGTGAAGGTAAGATGTTATCCTCACCTATGGCAGTGAAGTTCCTGCAGGTCTCCAGCATCACATCTCCATAGAGACTCTTCTGGGAAGGATCCAGCAAATCCCACTCTTCCTGGGTGAAGTGCACAGCCAGATCCTCAAAGCTCACCAGGTCCTAAAACATCCCATATTTGTATATAAAAGAGCTGTGAGAACGACATCTGTCCACATCCGACAGTAGGACAGCATAACTGTGTGGTCTTCACACACTCATTCCATGACGCACGAGTTCTAGCAAAACACTGAATGATGTTCAGGGACGGCAGACAGATCACTCTCCTCATTCCTGCACTCAAGAGATGAGCTGCTCCCCACCCCTTCCCTTTCTCCAGTTTATCTCTACTTCTTGTCCCAGGAACACCCTATCATCTGATACAGCAACATTAAATTAGGGCTCAGGAGGCTGTTTGTCCTTGGGATTCAGGCTCAGAGTTTAGCTTCTTCTGGCCTAAGGAAACAATATTCTAAGACCACACATGAACATAAATAAGGATAAATGACTCGGCATGAATGAGATATACAGCACGGAAATTCTGAACACTCCTATTTTCCTTCTGACAGTTTACTAACAACTTCTAAACTCTAGATCAGACACAGTCTCCCAAAAGTGACTATCGGCTGTATGAGGACAGCTTCTCTGCCTAGGCCCTCCAACGTTAAGCTTCTATATAGAAATCATGCCTGCTCCTGGTGGGTTGGAGTCTACCCACTGCTCAAACTATTCCAACTTCTCTTTTACTAGTCATACTCAGTCTTAATCCTTCACTTCTTTTTCAAAGTTCCAGCAAAGGACTTCTTTTCCTTAATACACCTGGTTGCCACACAAATTTAACCATGAATGCTGATCTGAGGTTCCCAAGAGCCCAAGAATGAATATGATGTGGGAGTGATTTCTTATTAATAAAGAAACTGCCTAGGCCCCTTGATAGGCCCACCCTTAGGTGGGTGGAGAAAACAGAAGAGAATTCTGGGAGAAAGAAGCTTAATGAAGGAGTCGCCATGATTCTCCCGCTCCAGACAGACGCAGGTTAAGATCCTCCCTGGTAAGCCAGCTCGTGGGCTACACAGAATATTAGAAATGGGTTAGAACAATATGTAAGAGCTAGCCAATAAGAAACTGGAACTAGCCGGGCCAGGCAGTGTTTGAAAGAATACAGTTTCCGTGTAATTATTTCTGGGCATAAGCTAGCCATGCGGGCGGCCGGGTGCGGGGGACGCAGCCCTACCGCTCTTATTTCAACATGAATACACCAACTGCTATACCTACTTTAGACAATCTTTATAGGAGGAAGGCTGCTTGTTCCTGCCAGCCACCCAGAACCAAAATAATCACGTAGAAACTGTATTAATTAAATCACTGCTTGGCCTATTAGCCCTAACTTCTTATTGGCTAACTCTTACATTTTAATTTAACCCATTTCCATTAATCTGTGCATCACCACGAGGTCGTGGTCATCTATCTTCAGCAGCGGATTCATGGCATCCCCCTGACTCTGCCTCCTTTTTCCCAGGATGTCATTTAGTTTTCCCCACCTACCTAAGTTCTACCCTATCAACAGGCCAAGGCAGTTTATTTGTGCATTAACGGTATTCAAGCATACAGAGGGAAATCCCACATCAAACCTCAAAGAAGCAAAATAAACTATTGTCCTTGTAATCATTTTCTGTCTCTTTGACAAGCCACACCCACTCCCTCCCCTATCTGCTGAGACAGGCTGATCTTCAGCTTCCATCCTGAGTTCTCTCTTTTCCTCTTGAAGAGGCAGCTTCCGTCTCTCCCTTCTCTATCCCTCCCTCCTTCTTTCTCTCTCCCTCCCCTTTTCCCCTCCTATTCATAACCACTAAATAAATATCCAATCTCACTCTGCATGGCATTCCTATCCTATCTCTGTCTCTTACCTGCCAATGCATGTCTCTCTGCCCTGGTATACTGCCTGGCCAAGGGACCAACTCCAGGGAAGGCTGATTAGCTTAAATAAAGCTAAGCTAAACAGATGGGATTCAGGAATAATTATCTCATTCATGAAATAATGCTCATTTTCTTCTCAAAAGCTCCTCTATGTCACAAAGCAACTGGAATTCCCTTTTCTTGGGTCTGCCTGCCTTTCTGAATATGTAAAATAAAACTTGCCCTTTTTTTGAACTCTTTGTTCCTTTTCTTTCAGACTCAAGCCAGAGTATAAAAGAATGCTTTTGCTGTTACTCTGGGCTGTTTCTATTGTTCTGTGAAGGCCCCATCCCTGCCATGTGGAGCTTGTCTACCCTGTGATTAACATCTGTGTTGGCTTAACTCAAATGGCACGAATTTTTCTCTTCATCACCTTCTCCATGAAGATTTTAAGATTTAAGCCTAACTGTACTGGGGTTTTTCTTTACACTCTTAATAAAAATTCCATCAAGCTTTCCTTTAGGTTCATTCTTAAGTTTTTCTATTAATGTAACTAAAAACCCTGTGAGGACTAAAGTTATGTTTCAGTTTAAATTGTTGTGCTTAAGAGAGTTATAAAACAATGCCCAGTGGTAGAAGGCAGAGACACGTAGAGCTCTGTGAGTTAAAGGCCAGCCAGGTCTTCAGAGTGAGTCCTAGCACAGCCATGCTGTAATGGTTTAAATAAAAAAAAAAATGCTGCAGGATCCCTGGATCCTTGACAGCTGCAGGGGCTGAAATTCTGCAGGTCCCCAAGTGGGGACAGGCACCAGGCCCCAGAGCAGCCAGTCCCAGGCAGGGACGGTGCACGAGACCACACTGCAGGACTCCAAAGGTGGCTGGTCCCCGGGGGCAGTCGTGAGATGACGGATAGACACGCCATGCAGAGTGAAATTGGATGGCTGCAGCAGGCTACAAGGAAAGACAAATGGGCACACCAAGAGACTACTCTGCAGGTCTCTGAAGGCGCCTGGTCCCAGGCAGGGAGACACATGGCAGCTGGCCAGAGACATGGATGGACACGCCATGCAGACTAAGGATAGATATTTATTAAGTGGGTTATGGAAGGGAAGGAGAAGGGCAGAGAAAGAGAGAGAGAGAGAGAGAGAGAGAGAGAGAGAGAGAGAGAGAGAGAGAGAAGGGAGACACAGAAGCTGCCTCTGAGAGGGAGATGGAAAAAGGAAAAGACTCAGGCTGCAAGTAGGAAAGAAGATCTGCCTTCCTCAGCCAATGGAGGGGAGGGAGTGGGCACGGCGTGTGTCTGTCTCTGTCTGTCTCTCTGTCTCTCTTTGGAGCCTGTCCTGGAACTAGCTCTTGTAGACCAGGCTGGCCTTGAACTCATAAAGACGTGCCTGTCTCTGCTGGGATTAAAGTGTGGCTTGTCTAAAGAGACAGAACAGACCATTACAATGGCTATACAGATAAACTATCTCAAAAAAACAAGAAAGACCTATAAAACAAACCATGGTGTAAGAGGCCCTTCTGTCTGTTGTTTTCATTGGTTGAATAGAGAAACTGCCTTGGCCTTTTGATAGGGCAGCCCTTAGATAGGCAGGGAAGACAGAACAGGATGCTGGGAAGAAGGGCAGTGTGGCAGACGCCATGAAGCTTCTGCTTGAGACTGACGCTGGTTAGAATTGACCTCATGGTGTTACACAGATTGGTAGAAATGGGTTAGATCAGGATGTGAGAGTTGGCCAAGAAGAGGCTAGATACAATGAGCCAAGCAGTAATTTAATTAATACAATTTCTGTGTGATTATTTCGGATATAAGCTATACAGCCTGCCATTCCTCCTACTACAGAGTGGCGCCCAACATGAGGCTAAATCCACTTAAAAACCTGAGAGGGCTTAAAAAGGAGAGAGAGAGAGAGAGAGAGAGAGAGAGAGAGAGAGAGAGAGAGAGTGTTTAACACGGCTTTTTGCTGTTTGTTGGCAGCGTGCCACAGAGAGATTTTCCTGATTCAGCAAAAGCAGCCAAAAAACAAGGCTTCCTGGGCCCTGCCACCGCTGCAAACTCCAGCTACGGAGCATTTGTGGGTCCAGATGTTTCTGTGCCTACTTGGGGCTGGGAGGAAAATATCTGATATCATGCCCTTGGCTCAGCATTTCCTTCCTGGGCAGACAACGGGATCAGGCTTGGGCAGGCCAGAGAGGATGGTGGATTCCTGCTGCCATACACAGAGATGTTTCCAGGCTGTGCAGTGTTCTGCGTGGCAGATTAGGCTGTAACTCAAAAAGGAGTTTATGTGTTGCACGCTCATTCCCCAGGTTGCACTGCTGAGTGCAGCTCCAGCCTGGCAGCCCCAGAACTAGCAAAAATGGTATGCCCACCATTTAAAAATTGGAGAGAGGTGGAGCCAACATCCAGCGCAGCTGCAACCAAGCTGCTTAGCATTCTAAAAGTTCTCCAAGACAGTAGAGAATTAAAGACAATGCAATAGGACAGATTCAGACATAAAAGACCTCTAAATGGATCACAGTGTTAGATAAAGTACGTAGGCTTTGGAGAAAAAAGAAAAAGAGTATAGAAAGTCATAAAGTTAATGCTTTAAAAAAATGATAAAGTCTTTAAAGAGACAGAGTACAGATAGTTATAGATTAAAAGAAATAAAGAAAAATAAGCCACGTAAAAATAAGAAATTCAGAGTTTAGATTCTATATATTGTTTTTTTTTTTAATTTTTTTACTGTAAAGGAGCTAAGTGCAGAGAGACATCTCATTATATGGGCTGCCAAGCTAAACCAGAATGGATATCATTAGGGTATCTTGACTTCAAGATTTGGGTCTAAGGATATGATACTTTTAAAAAGAGGTTCTTCTTTTGCTTTCACAGAAGATGAGACCCTGTGGATTGCCTCCATACCAATATGGTATGATAGACCACGCCCTCTTGAAAGGTTGCCATAAACACCCTCAAAAAATTACTTTGCCCAATTACTGACTGAGATAAACCTAATACTCAGGATACACAACAAAAGACTGATTAACAGCACCCACATACAGCACAAAGCAGTTTGGAGAAAAAATAAACTGTGCCCATATTCCCAAATATTATTTAGAAATGTTATTTTACATTTAAAGGGGGATATGATATAGATATATGATATAGATATGGATAATTTGTATCAGTACAAATTTGCTTTAGTGATATAAATTTAAGGTCAATCTTGTTATATGTATATGTATTTCTGATCTTGTTTAAGGTATTGTGATTGTGTAGTTCATTAAAAATGTAATGTATAATTAAAAAATATAGGTTGTTAATGGGTAATCATCGATAATAGTCAAACTTGTAGTCATGTTAGATTTTCTAGATATAAAGAGATATATTTCAGTTAAATAGACATTCTTCATATCTTTCAAAGACTACAGAATATGGCATTTTAAATGTTTTAATAACTTAGGACTTTTCATGACAAGGAGACACATCTGTTTCTGGCAGCACCAATCTACTTCAAGAGGAAGATGGGCATCGAAGAGGATCCTTATGGAGTTTGATAGCCATTTGGGCAAGAAACTGCTCTTGCCTGGACTGTTGAATAAACTGGACACAAAGAACCCACAGAGAGAGGACTGCTGAACTTGCCTAAAGGTGAGATGATCCTTCGGGGTTCCTGCTTCATAAGAGTCTGCAAGACATTCTACAGGGCACAAAAGAAAGTGACTGAACTGGCTTTAAAATTTCCTGCTTCATGGAAATGTCTCTGGATACTATGGACCTGAAGGCCAAAGATGGATGCCCCAACGGTACAGAAAAACTTTGGGTGACTGTCCAGGTAGCGAGATGTCTCTGTTATTTCTAGAGTTTTGGAAGTTGCTTACTTCTTGTTTACTTAGGTAATATTATATCCTTCTGGAGTCTTTTGATAGAGCTGAAAAATAGATGATAGATAGATAGATAGATAGATAGATAGATAGATAGATATAGTTTTCCTTAGTTATGATAAAAGATAAAGTAGATATAATAAATGTAGTTCTTGCTTGATACCTGTTATATGTAATTTTACCACATTAAAGTGAAAGCCTTTCTTTTTGTTTAAACAGAAAAGGGGAAATGGTGTAGGAGGGTCTTCTGTCAATATGTTGCTTTCATTGGTTGAATAAAGAAACTGCCTTGGCCTTCTGATAGGGCAGAACTTAGATAGGCGGGGAAGACAGAACAGGATGCTGGGAAGAAGGACAGTGTGGCAGACGCTATGAAGCTCCTGCCTGAGGCTAACGCTGGTTAGAATCTTTCGCTAGTTAGAATCTTTCCCGGTAAGCCACAACCTCATGGTGTTACACAGATTGGTAGAAATGGGTTAGATCAGGATGTGAGAGTTGGCCAGGAAGAGGCTAGAAATAATGGGCCAGGCAGTAATTTAATTAATACAATTTCTGTGTGATTATTTCGGGTATAAAGCTAGCTGGGGGGCTGGAGAGATGGCTCAGTGGTTAAGAGCATTGCCTGCTCTTCCAAGGGTCCTGAGTTCAATTCCCAGCAACCACATGGTGGCTCACAACCATCTGTAGAGGTCTGGTGCCCTCTTCTGGCCTTCAGGCTAACACACAGAATATTGTATACATAATAAATAAATAAATAAATTAAAAAAAAAATAAAGCTAGCTGGGCGGCAGGACACAGCCCGCCACTCCTCCTACTACAAACCAAAATAATAATAATAATAATAATAATAATAATAATGCCTCTAACCTGTAAGCCCACTTGCCCAAAGACAGATAACTTCCTGGAATGGTGGGGGCTGTTTGTTTATGTAAGATAAAAATCCATGTATTTTCACTTCTATAAATAAGGTTGGTTGTCCTCACCTGCAAAGGATGTGCTTGCTTACACACAGGAGAAAGGTATGTAGACAGGAAGTACATCAGGATGTATGCTTGCTCCCAACTGGACAAAGGCAGGAAGTATGTAACCTTGTGGATTTTGCCTTTATAAGCCCGTCTAATGTAATTCAGTGCCCATTCTCTGGGAATCCTGGGTATGGACCTGGCCAGTGTTCACCATCCTAGCCAGTATTTAATGAAGTCTGCTTCAAACATGGCTCAAAAAATTGTGGTAGTGATAATTTTCTTGCTCATTGAGGATTAACATCCCCAAGAAAAGGCCCCAATTTCCCTGGTAACATCTAGCAACTATGGCAAGACTCCCCAAATTCTGATAGCATTAGAATAAACACAACATTGGAACAAAGCAACACAAATACAAAAGGACATCCCACATCAATGGCGATTTCACGTAAACTCATAAGAAAAAGGAGAACATAGGAGGCCATTGAACAAATAGGGTTCTCTAGTAGAATAAAACAGTAAGAATACTAATATCTAAGAACAATAGATACCACAAAGGGCTTACCTGATCCGGTCTAGAGAGTCCAACAATGGCAGTCTCCATGATGGAGAGGCTCCGCCCACAAGGCTGGAACCCTTCAATCTGGCACCTAAGGCCCAGAGCACACCTGGACAGCTTCTGGTCTTCAGCCCACACCGGAAAGTACAAAAAGCTGGGTTCCAATGTCAGTGAAGGATGGTGGCAGCAGCAGCAGCAGTAGCAGCAGCGGCAATGGGACAGATGCACTCACTAGCAAGAAGTGAAGGCAGGCAGGACAGCAACACTGCTTCTTGTTTGGACTTCTCTGTATTAAGGCCACACTCAAAGTGCCACCTACTATACAACAGGGTCTTCTCGGCTCAGTTAGGACTTCCTGAAGTTTCCTGGCAGTCCTGCGCAGAGACAGGTCTCTTAGTTGATTACTTATGGTAAAAGTTTCTAATCTAAGGTTTTAAGTGGTTAGCTCTGGTTTTATTGTTCTCAGCTTTTCCAGCAATATTTATTGTGTCTGTTATCGGGAATGTGCACCTTCCGAAGAGCACCTCTGAAGGCCAGTGACTAGCCAATATCTTTATTTTTCTGTCATCTTTATCTTCCTGTTGTCCACATTTTCACACTCTGATTCAATTACCAGGACTCTAAAAGAAAAACTTTGGAATCAATGTAATATAACAAATCAATAAGTGAGCTTGAGAAAAAAAATTTCCATACAGAAAATCCACAAAAACCTAAGAACTGCTAAAAGATACTAAAAACCTTATGATATATCAATATACAAAAGACCATCATTTTCCTTTAACAGCAGTAGACAACTGGGTGTAAAAATACTAATTCTACATCATGTGTATAGCACCTCACATTAAAAAAAAAATGGGTAGCTAAGAGAAAAGCCTTAGACAACAACCAAACATTTCTAATGAAGGAAAAACAAAAGCAAAAGTTACCATCACAGGGTCTCACCATTTTAAGACATCATGCATCTTCCATCTGCACCATAAATTTCAACATACTCCTCAGAACATCTAAAGCCAGATTACAACCAAAACTGAATCTAAGGGTTACATGGAAAGGGTGAGAAGAAAGAATGCTACAACTCTGAGGAAAGGAACACAGTGACACTACCTGACTTTCAGACTTCCTGTAGAACTACCACAGTCATTTGGTAAGCAGTAAACAGATCACTGGAGCAGAAAACCTAGAAACAATCCCACAAAAGCAGACCCACTTTTAGACAAAGGAACAAAAGACCCTCATGGAAGAACTGGGCTATTCTCAAAACAAAACCAACAGCCAGTAAAGTTTTTCTAGATTTGATATCGATAGCTATTAGGGGAATGTTAAGCTACTTTGAGACTCCATCTCACACCAGCCAAAATGGGTGTGATCAATGAAACAATGACAACAAATACTGGTGAGGATGCAGGCAGGGAAAGAGGGCCTTATTCACTGCTGGTCAAAATGGACGTTCCTCAAACATTAAAAATAGAACTATCACATATTTGGGTAGAATCTTGCCCTACTACTAGGACTATATGCCAATTCTTTTAAAAGACTGATGGTTAGTTTGTGTCAATTAGACACAAACTTGAGCCGCCTAGGAAGCGGTAACCTCAACTGAGGAACTGCCTCCATCAGACTGGACTGTTGACATATCTGTGGAAATTGTCTCGGTCAGTGATTAATGTGAGTTTCCAAGCTGCTGTGGCCCCTGGGCAGGTTGAGCAAGTCAGGAAAGGAATGCAGTATGGAGCAACTCCTCAGGGCCTCTGCTTCATTGCCTCCCTCCTGGTTCCTGCCTTGGCTTCCCTCTATGAGCACGCTGAGTTAGATCCCTTGTCAGTGGCCAATAGAAAAGCAAACTAAGACAGTAATTGTTATCATATTGCTTTGGTGAGCTTGATAATACTGTTTTGGAGGAGCACTGTAGATGGATTTTAAAATTTTGGGCTAAAAAAAATGGCCATTTAGTGCTCAGAGCTAAAATGGCTGTTCTTATCCAGGAGGAGAAGGTGGTATACACCTTTAATCCCAGCATTTCAGAGACAGAGTGGGTCTCTGAATTCAAGGCCAGCCTGATTTACAGAGTGAATTCTAGACCAACCAGGGCAACACTGTGACACTCAATCTATAGTTAACAAATCTATAAAATCAAACAAAAAAAGCTGGAAAATAAACATAAAAATGGCTGGAGTCCTGAGGCCTTTACCAATTTTTATCAAAATATCTGGAACACAGAACTACAGCACTATTGTTTAGCCAAGTTGTCCAAGCACCCAGTTACCTTCTAAATACTGTTTATAACAATATACAAAAGCTACTCCCAGTCAGGCGGTGGTGGTGCGTGCCTTTAATCCTAGCACTGAGGGGCAGGAGCAGGCAGATCTCTGTGAGTTAGAGGCCAGCCTGGTCTACAAGAGCTAGTTCCAGGACAGGCTCCAAAGCTACAGAGAAACCCGGTCTTAAAAAACAACAAAAAGCTACTCCCAGTCTAAATCAGAGAAGCATCTCTCTGCAGACTGCAGAGATACACAGTCACTCAAGGTGCTGAGAGTAAACGGACACCTGAGTGCTTGGCCACAAACAGAACATTTATACCACCACTTCTAAGGCTCAGAGATCACTGTAGAAGGGGCATAAAGAATGAAAGGTCCAACAGGGCAGTGGTGACACTCGCCTTAATCTCAGGAGGCAGTCAGGAGGCTCTCTGTGAGTTCAAGACCAGCCTGCTCTATGTGTGAGTTACAGGACTACAGAGAGAAAACCCTGTCTCGAAAAACCAAAAAAAAAAAAAAAAAAAAAAAAAAAAAAAAAAAAAAAAAANAAAAAAAAAAAAAAAAAAAAAAAAAAAAAAAAATCCCAGAAGATAGCAAAAATGGGATGAGAAATGCTGATTTCTGGCATAGCAGAGCTGATGCTAATGCTGTTATGACTTGACAACAGCAGTGATTTCTGCAATGGGCCTGACAATCAGTGATTACTCTTCCTTGAAGTATAGTCACTGAGGGATTGTTACAGAGGCGCCCACCAAACTACAATGGATAGGTTCACCCATGGTCACGCAGATGATCCTGGTTAAAACACAGTGGATCTCAAAACAAAAATGGAGACAAAGGGAGGGGGGCAAGAGACATGGATATTTCAAAGGGAATTGTAAGCAGGAGTTGACTAAGGGTGAAGGGAAATTAGAAAGAGGGACATTACAATGAGAAAATATGAGAACACTATACATATATGAAACTATTACATTGTGTTGTGGTGCATGCCTTTTATTCCAGCACCTGGAAAGAGGCTAGAGAATCAGGAGTTCAAGGTCATTCTTGCCTACACAAGATCCTAACTAAAAAAAACACATGCTAATTAATGAAAAGTGAGGCTGGAGTGGTGGTTCAGTGGTTTAGAAGCCAGCTGCTCTTTCAGGGGACCTGGGTCCAATTCCCAGCACACAGGGCAGCACACAACGATCTGTAACTACAATTTCAGATCTGATGTCCTCTGCTGGCCTCTGCAGGCACTAGGCATGCAAGTAGTACACAGACAAATACAAGCAAAACGTTCATACATATAAAATAAAAGTTGCTAGTAGTGGTGCTGTACACCTTTAATCTGAGTTGAGGCCATTCTGTCTACAGTGCGGTTTCAGGACAGCCGCTGTTACACAGCGAAACCCTGTCTCAAAAAAAAAAAAAAAAAGACAAAGACAAAGAAATTCACAGTTAACATCTGCACTTCTTTGTTACATATATTTGTATACATTACTTTCTGTGTCTTTCTCCTTCATGGTATATATGCAGTTTAATGTTTTTATTTTCACATCCTGTTCCTTTTGTTTATTTCTGATATACACGAATATGGAATTTTGTATGCTGATCCTGAATCCTACAAGTTTGCTGTAGTATCTGATTAATTCCTTTTTTTTTGGTTAGTTCTTGGTACTATTTGTGGATAATGGTATTTTCCTCTGAATCTCCATAGCTTTCTGACCTTTTCTTGATTGATATACGGCATAGTTTTGTCCTTCTCCCTACCAAATGTTGGTATAATTATATACTTCTTCTTACCTGTGGATATGGTGGATTACATTGACTGTTAATTTTTCCTTTTTTGAGTGTAGCGATCAGCATGTACTCTACCAGTGAGATTCATTCATAGCCTCCATCTTGAGGTTTCCGCTGGTCTTACATTTCCAGTTGACTGTGATATAGTAGTTTTGGGGTTGTTTTTTATTTATAAATTTATTTTCGACAGTTTTTATTTCTTACTTTATTTGTTTTGAGTGTTTTGCCTGCCTGTATGTCTGTGTACCATTTGTGAGTCAGGTGTCCAAAGAGGCCAGGGAGTTGTAGATGTCTGTGGTCCATCACCATAGGCACTAGGAATTAAATTTGGGTTCTTTGAAAGAGCAGCCAGTGCTCTTAACTCAGCCATCTCTCCAGCCCCACATTTTTATAATTTAAAAAATTATAAATGCCGGGCGGTGGTGGCGCACGCCTTTAATCCCAGCACTAGGGAGGCAGAGGCAGGCGGATCTCTGTGAGTTCGAGACCAGCCTGGTCTACAAGAGCTAGTTCCNAGCACTAGGGAGGCAGAGGCAGGCGGATCTCTGTGAGTTCGAGACCAGCCTGGTCTACAAGAGCTAGTTCCAGGACAGGCTCCAAAACCAGAGAGAAACCCTGTCTCGAAAAACCAAAAAAATAAAAAAAAATAAAAAATTATAAATTCATTTTTAACTTTATTTTATTTTTGGTTTCTTTGTATAGCCCAGGCTGTACAGGTACTCACTCTGTAGCCCAGTCTGGCTTAGAACTCGCAGAGATCCGCCTGCCTCTGTCTCCTGAGTGCTGGGATTAAAAGTGTACACCAGCACTGCACAGCCCACTACAAATTTCAGCTGAAAACAATAAACCTGATAAAAGGAGCTACTGCAGAATTTCAAAGACGTGTGCGCTCGGGTTGTGCCTGTCACTCCACACTAGAAAACAGTTTTCAGCCTGTCCTGCCCTGAAAGACACCCTTCTACAAGCGCTTTTGCCTCCACTTTGAGGGAAAAGAACAACTATAGCCCCTAGGTAGATTAAAAAAAATTCACCATCTGATTATCCATGCAGCACAGACTGCTTATTCCTGGAGAAAAGGAGCACTTTACAAATCTTTCAGGTTGAGCTGACACTACAGGGAAGATGGGTGTATTAAAAACTCTACCACTCTTTAATTCCAGTACTAGGGAGGCAGAGGCAAGAGGATCTCTATAAATTCAAGGTCAGCCTGGTCTACATTGAAAGTTCAAAGCAGTCAGGATCACAGTGAGACCCTATCTCAAAATGAAAAATAAAATTTAAAAATTCCTTAGGCGGGCTGGAGAGATGGCTCAGAGTTTAAGAGCACTGGCTGCACTTCCGAGGTCATGAGTTCAATTCCCAGCAACCACATGATGGCTCACAACCATCTAGAATGAGATCTGGTGCCCTCTTCTGGCTTGCAGGGATACATGGAGGCAGAATGTTGTATACATAATAAATAAATAAATCTAAAATAAAAAATAAAATCCTTAGGCATAATGGCACACCCCTTTTATCCCAACACTTGATAGAAGCAGGTGAATTTAAGTCAAGGCCAACCCGACCTACATAGGAAATTCCAGGTCACTGGTGTGTAATGAGACCCTGTCTGTCTGTCTGTCTGTCTACCCCCCCACACACACATATGTATACATACACATAACTTATATATTTATTCACTTAAAATGTTTTAAATGAGGATGCAACTCCTTTGCCTAGCCTCAGAAAGTGATGGATGCCTGCCGGAAACCAACCTATCATCCGATACCTGATATGTGAGCCAAGGCAGCTTACCTCAGCTCAACCAGGTTGGTCTGTCCTGCCTTTCATCTCACACTATAGCTACACTTTCGAACTGACTGTTTCCCAAGCTTCACTCAAAGTTCCTTCTTTGTGGCTCACTGGTCTTGGGTTCTAATATAGAGCATCAACTGAAACACTACTTGCACTTCTCTCAGCCAACCTGTAAAACCCTTTGAGCTCTGCTGCAGCCTCTTTAACTTACATGCATTCTCTAACAGCATATGAACATATATATTTTTTTACTGTGTGATATGAAGTAAATATTAGTCATTACAATTTGCAAAAAAATAAACTGCCTTAGCCTCAAACAGTTACCACTGGAAGCATAACACCTTTTAAATTTCTATTCAATAAATCCTGACACTGTGGAAAGATGTGAATGTACTTGTCTATGTTTCTGGGACAACATGACAGAAAGCCACAATCCTAAAATGTCAGTTCCCAGTTTTAATTATAGATTTAACATAATTCCCACCAAAATGTGAAAAAAAAATCCGTATCAGTAACAGAAATTGATTATTAAAGATTATATACAAACATTTTTTTTTAATAAAAAAAGAGGGGCTGGAGAGATGGCTCAGTGGTCAAGAGCACTGCTTGTTCTTCCAAAAATCCTGAGTTCAATTCCCAGCAACGGCATGGTGGCTCACAACCATATGTAATGAGATCTGGTGCCCTCTTCTGGCCTGCAGGCAGACATGCAAACAGAATACTGAGAATACTGTATATATAATAAATAAATAAATTTAAAAATAAAAAAAGAACCAAAACGGTCAGCAGAAACCAGACGAACCCATAGCACACAGTTAACATCTCCAATCACATACACAAAACAACGCACTATTTAGGAAGAATAAATATATCCACAAACAAACTAAAAAAATGAGACAAACTGACCTTTGATAAAGTAGCAAATGAAATCCACTGAGAAGTCTTTTCTAGAACTGTTTCTGAAACACCATTCTAAAGAAATACCCTGGACACTCAGAAAATCTCAAAAATTAACTCAGAATTGATCCTAGACCTAAATTTGAAATACAGAGTCCAGAACGTCTAGACCACAGTGCAGAGAACACAGCCTTAAGTGCGACACCAAGAGCACAAACGGGGCGCCAGCACCGGTCGGTGACGTCACCAACCCGGAAGCTACCCCCGCAAAGGGCGGAGCCTTCTGCTCCCCGCGCTCTGAGCAGCAATGGCGGGAAGGGCGGAAGTGACCAGAACCCTCCGAGAGAGGGCCTGGCGAGTGATGAGGCTAAGGTCGCCGCATGAACCTTTTAGGGTGCCCGGTCCTCCGGCCGGCTCCACGCCTCCCCCAGCGCGGGGAGGACCCAGCACGCAGGCTCCCGTGGCTCCACCGATCGCTCCTCCCCGTCTGGGGACCGCGGCCCCGCGCTCACCATGGCGCGGCTGCTGAGCTCGTCCGCGCTCTCCTCACAGCTCCCCGCAGTGGCGCTCACCTTTGTGAGCACAGGGGACTATGCGATGACTGCTTAAGAAAACGAGCAGAACCCGCAGCATGGCGGCGGGAAAGAACCCACCTCCCGCCTTGGTCTAGGGCTCTTGATTGGACATCCTGCTCCGAAGCCCTGATTGGCTAGAGCTGCACCACACGTCTGATTGACAGGCGTTCCCTAGACGCTACGGCATGGATGACCCGCCTCATTGCCTTAATTGGCTAGTATGGCCTGCATGACGCAGCAGTTCCTTTCGGCATTCCTGAGTGAGTGGCCAGGCCCAGAGGTCAATTGGCTAGCTCTACCCCACGAGGGCTTGAGTGACAGGGGCAGCTTCCTTTGGTACTTGTGAATGAACGGCCTGCCCCAGGGCCTGATTGGCTGATGAGACCTGAACGACAGGATCCGCTCTCATAGGTGGGCGAGCTGAAATTAAAAGACGTCCACCACACAGCCTTTCCTAGCCCGAGTTTACACCCAGGCTCATGCAAGTCCGCTCCAGGGATATTTGCCTTGAAGCAGAACTTTGGCCTCCCTGAACTCTCACTGTCTTCTTGCACTCAGTAGGTACTTACCGTTCTTCCTTTGGACATACGCTTGTTTGTGTGAACGATCCGTTACACACAGTACCCCAGGCAGCGATCCCTTTACCTCACGAATAGCGCCCAACTCTTCCCCCCCTCAAACTGGAACAGGACTTGACGTCCTCCAGGGATCAGAAATTTCACTAAGGCACACCAAAGATTGCTCGAATTTTCTTTTTAACCAGAAAAAAAAAAATCCAAGCCCAATGTAGTGTTGCTTTTCCTGCTATCCCAACACCAGGGGATGGAAGCAAAGAGGTCAGAATTCCGCATTAACTTCGTGAATAAAAGAGAAAAGCTTCTCATAACAAACACAAACTGAACGAATTTCAGACCACTATGCCAGAACAACAGAAGGTATTTGAGGGAGCCTTACACACTGAAAATACATTCATGAGGCCACATTAGAACAGTGAGGAAGAACAGTGAGGAAATAGTTCATTCTTAAATAGGTACATAGCGAAGGAGAGTGGTCCTGGAGCAAATCAAACTGACTCGGAGTGCTTCCACTCTGGATCCGAGGGCATACTCCAGACTCTTGCCCAAGAGAAACCCCCTCGTCGCTGAGGCCTTCCCTCTCCGGCACCCAGTAGGCTAATGCACACACTCTCCTCAACCCCATCCCACTGAGGGCCTCACAAAGCCTCACTGGAACTTGGCTGACCTCTCTCCTCCTGCCTTCTGCGCTGTAAGCCACTAATGGCAAGGCCAGGGGGTCTCTGAGGGCTTTCTTCTCCATGGGAACTTCAGAGGTTTCATTTATGTCTCAGTCAGGTCCTTGCTGGCATTTTAAATTACCCAATCAACTAAATGTATGCTGCCTGATCCATTCTGAGAAGGAGAAATTATGTGTATGAGTAAAATGTACATGGGGGAGCACCCATGTAACAGCTCACAGTTTGAAACTCTAGCCCTAGGGGATCTGAAATCTTTGACTAGGAGAATCTGGAGACTAGGCATACACATAGTGTAAATACATACATGCAGGCAAAACACTCATATGAAGTAAAAGGATTCATCAGGGAATGTGGTGCTCCCTCTCTGTACACCACATCCACCAATTTTCTCTCGCTCTCTCTCTCTCTCTCTCTCTCTCTCTCTCTCTCTCTCTCTCTCTCTCTCTGTGTGTGTGTGTGTGTGTTTTAACAGTAGATTTTTTGTTTTGTTTTGCTCTTTTTTTAGACAAGGTTTCACTAAGTAGCCTTGGCTGGCCTGGAGCAATAAATCTTATGCATGACAGACTGCAAATTTTTCATTCTGTCATTCTTCACTTAACAGAGAAAACAACTGGTTTGGAAAGTAAGCTAGCAGGAAACAATAGCAAACAACAACAACAACAAAAAAAAGCCTAAGCAAATGAAGCAAATGTTAAGAAGTAACCAAACACACCATGCTTGGTGTCACACACCTTTAATACCAGCATTCCGGGGGCAAAGGTTGATATATTTCTGAATTCTACATGGTGAGATCCTGCCTCTAAATGAATAAATAAATATCGCTGGAAACAATTGTGTAACTGATAAAATCATTGGCAGAGAGAGGAAGGGCTTAAAGGGCACTTAAGACACATGGGAGAAAGCAGTAACTGAAGTCTGATGGAAGGCAGCTAAGAACAATTCATTAGAAGAGATAAAGACAGCCACATTGTGGTGATTAATAAGAACAACCTCTCAGGAGAAAACTAAGATTCTACACATGTGCACCAAACATCAGTTATTTAATTTCATAAAACAAAGGCTAATGGGCTATAGAGGTAAAATTGAGGTTGTATAGGAACAACCCTATAACATTGTCAATACCATACTCTTGAGACAAGGCAGGTGATCAAGCCAAAGCAATAAAGAAACACCAGACATAAATTATTCTAAAAGTTGAAAAGTAAGGAACTGGGGAAATAGCTCAGTGGCTAAGAGCCACAGAGTGCCTGCTCTTTCAAAGGGACCGAGGTTTGGTTCCCAGCACCTACATGGTGGCTTACAACCATCCATAACTCCAGTTCCAGGGAATCCTACTCCCACCTCTGACCTTCACAAGCACCAGACATGAACGTGGTCACATACATATCTGCAGGCAAAGCATTCACACATAGAGTATTAATTCATATATATATGCATATATATGTATATATACATATTGATTCATTAGAATAACTATCAGGCTGTAGTCCAGCTAATCCACAATGGTTGCAGCCCAAGAATCCAGTAGTTACTCAATCCATGAGGCCAGATGTCTCAACTGGTCTGTGTAACAGGGCCCAGACCTTAGTAGGCCCTGAGACCTTAACACAATTGATTCCATGATGGAAATACCATTCAGACTGTAAAACTCAGCACATAGCACCACGTGCCAAAACTAAAACAGAGACCTAATCTATCAAAGCCCATAGTTCTGTGAAAGTCTCTAATTGACTAACTTGTTTTTTTGGCGTCTGTAGTTCTGCTTCTGGCTGTCTATTCTTGCTAACTGAACGTGATGTCAATCCAGAACATGGTTCTGCACTTAAAAGCTCACTGAGAAAAGCTTGGGACTACACCCCATGTAGTCACCAATCAGCTAATAAAGACTTTCTATTGCCAAACCCATGTCCAAGCAGTCTTCTCTGGTAAATACCCAACAACATTTTTCAGTATATGCTGGAATCCTGAAGAAACAAGCTCTAATAAAAAAGGAATGAACTTTCTAGAGAAGGGTGGGAGCAAACAGGCAAAGGACAAATGTTTCTTTCTTCCATGTCCTTGTATAGGCTTTCAGCAGAAGGCATGGACCAGATTAGAGATGGGTTTTCCCAGCTCAAAAGGTCTGGATTAAAGATATGTCTTCCCACCTCAAGATCTGCATTAGAAGTGGCTCTTTCCACTGAAAATAATCTAGTTAAGCAAAAGATCCCTCACAGGCATGCAGAGCCATTTTGGAGGTCTAGTTAATTCCAGGTATTGGAAGTTGACAACCAAGAATAGACCTCACAATGGGCAACTGCACACATGTGGTACACATACAAACAGACACGTACACATAAAAATATAATAGGTCAGAGTCCTTTGTTTTTCTCCACTGTTATCAGTCATTCTGTAGCCTTCCAGGTATTTTGTTTTTTCCTTCTTTATCTTCCTTGGCACATTGAGATTAAATCTACTTTCCTTTCTTATATTTTTGGTTGTGAGCCTAGCATTTAATGGCTGAGCCATCTCTCCAGTCCCCTTTCTCTTCTTAAGATGTAGAAAATGTCATTCATAACAGAATTGATGGAGGAAGGTCATTGGTAATAAACAAACTGCCTTGGCCCATTTTGATAGGCCATCCCTTAGGTGGGTGGAGTAGGCAGAACAGAATGCTGGGAGAAAGAGGAAGTGAGCTCAGAGGCCATGCTCCCCTCTCCCGGGCAGACACACGCGATGAAGCAAGCTGCCAGGTCAGACATGCGGAATCTTTCCCGGTAAGACCGGTGCTACACAGTTTATTAGAGATGGGCTGATCGGGATATCAGAATTAGCCAGTAAGGGCTAGAGCTAACGGGCCAAGCAGTGTTTAAATGAATACAATTTGTGTGTTGTTATTTCGGGTAAAGCTAGCCAGTGGCAGGAGCTGGGTGGCGGAATGTAATGCACAGTGGAGACACAATCCCTACATCAAGCATGAAAACATGCTAACTGTCCCAAAGACACCTGCATTTTCACAATTTCCAGCTTGCTTGGATTAAGTCCCCTCATAGCAGGCACTTGGAATTAAACCCAGGTGTTTGTGCATGGTAGAGAGAAATGTGTGTCACAAGCGACATGGCCAGCCCCCAGCTGGGTTTTGTTTCAACCCTGCTTGTACTACAAACTACGCCAGAGACAGGACAGAATGTATTTATGGGATGAAGAGAATTCAGTGTGTGAACTAACATGGTTGGGCTGTGTAGACCAACAAATGCCAGGGCATGACAGAGAGCCTGAGGATCAAGTAGCTGCTCAGGCCATGAAGCTTTGATGATGCCCGTTGATTACATTCTGGCAGCAAAGGCCTGGAAAATCCCCAGAATTGTTGCTGGAAGACCAAAGGGGCTGCAGTCTGATATCACTAGGGGATTGGAGCAGTTACAACAGCAGCCACCACAATAGGCATACTCAGCAGCTAGAAGCAAACACAAGCAAGCAGGACATTGCTTTTTCTTCAGAAATCTTTCTATGTCTGCAGTGAGGTCACTCACACATGATACCTGTTCCCAGTTG